TATAGATATATATATATATATACACACATACATACATACTTATAATAAACTATTTTTGTTCTTGCTCTTAATTTGCTGTTCCATGTCCATTTTGTAGCTCTCTTGTCCCAAAACACTATTGCTACAACAACAACAAGGCTTTATCCCACTAAAAGTTGGGTCGACACATGAATCCTTCTTCTTCATTGTATCCTATTTAGAGTCTTATTTTCATTTAATTCCAATAAATTAAGATCATTTTTTATACAATATGCTAAAGTCTTTTTAGATCTATGTCTATCTTTCTTAACATAAGTTGAATCTAATACATCTACTCTCATAACCGGATCATCAAATTACCAACGTTTAATGACTCTCTTCACTCCTGTTTGCCACTGGACCTAAACCCACCCTTTCACAAATATATTTTTTTCACATTTTGTCTCTAAGTGTAAACCACTCGTCCTCCTAAGCATTCTCATCTTATCAACACTTAACTTAGTTTTATGCTTCTCTTTTATAGGCCAACATTCCGTGCCATAAAACATTTCAAGTCTCACCACCATTTTATAAAATTTTCTTAAAGCAGTACTTTTCTATGACACAATAGGCCCAAACACAATAGGCCCAATGCATTCCCATGCATTCCCCCACTTCAACCATCCAACATGAATTCTACTAATAACATCCCCATCTATATCACCACCACTTTGAACAATAGACCCGATACATCTGAAATGTTCACACATTTTAATGAATTGATCACCCATTGTTACAACTTTGCCACTAGATCTATTAGTACTAAAATTACATTCCATGTATTAGTTTTACATCTAGTCAAACGAAAGTCTTTAGGCTCTAAAGCAGTCCTCCATAATTCAAGTTTTCATGAACCGTTTCTCTAATCTTATCCACAAGAAGGATATCATCAGTGAAAAGCATACACTAACATTCTCTTGTAAATGTCTAGTAAGAGCATCCATAACTAAAGTGAAAAGATATGGGTCTAAAGCCGATCCCTGATGTAATCCAATTGAAAGGAAAATAGTTGGTCAATCCTCCTTTTGTTCGAACATAAGTAAGAACTCTAGCATGCATTAAGAACTCTAGCATGCATTTTAATGATTTGAATATAAGTCATATCAACACCTTTCTTTTCTAGAACTCTCCAAAGCTTCTCTTGGAACCTCGTTGTAAGTTTTTTCTAAATCAATAAAAATCATATGTAGATCCTCCTTACTCTCTCTGTATTTCTCCGTCAAACCTCTCAGAAATGTATTGCTTCCATAGTAGAGCTGCCCGACATAAATCCAAAGTGATTATGAGAATCTTTATATCACGTCTTATGAAAAGTGATTAGAGAAACGGTTCATAAATTCACCTAATTTCCCTTCCCCTTTCGTTCATGTATCTAATTTATAGTTACAAAATTGAAACTAGAAAGTGAAAATTTTCAAGAAAAAAATTTTTAATTGTATTTTTTAGGCCACTGTAAACTCTTTATAGTCTGGATCGGTAGATAAGGTTGGTATGGTATCAAGTTCAACTTAAATTCAGATTACTTTTTTTTTTGTTTTTTAATTCCCAATGCGGACAATCATCATCCAATTTGAATTTGGAATACCATAAGCAATTCATTGCCTTTTTCCTCTAAAATTTGCGTATATCTATAGGACACCCCAAATTGCATTATAAAATTATGAAAAAAACATATAAAATGGAAATTTGGAACTCCATAGTTATATCATCTGCAAAACAATAGTTGGCAACATATGTTTTTAATGAATAATACCTAAAGAACACCGCTACAAACATCAATCATTGACCATCATGATTATATTTAAAGGACTATGGGGTAATAGTTATTGAAGATATTTGTTTTAGAATGCATATTGAAATCAATGATTGTGAAGGCTTATATTATGACGTTTCTTTTGTTTTTTTCACATAAATTACATGCATACCACTGAATTCTTATGTATTTACACATATCTTACACCTAAACTTCATATTTTCATACATGACACCTTTCCTAAGGATGAGATGGTGCATTTCACTTCTTAAAATTTATATGATAGGAATGATTTGAGTGTTATAAATGTAAAGTTAAAGTTTGGGTGCTAGATTTGTAAATATATAAGAATTGTTTTGTATGTAAATGTCGGTTTTATTTTTTGTTTTTACTTTTATTTTTAAAATATTTTTGTTTGGTGCATGTTCACATGTTTTTTCTTTTGTTTTCAACATAAAAAATATTTTTTATTTCAAATCAAAATATAATCAACAAAACAAAACAAACATACAAAATTGAAGCAAAAAATAAAAATGATCCCATACAGACCTTCTAATTTGGCTGACGAAAATTTTGAATAAAAAATATTTCTGAAGAATTTTGTCCCTGCAGGAGCCATGGCTTCTCCATGAATTCGATGATGATTTCTATGGGGAGGAGCTACGCCTTGTTGTCGTGGGCTATATAAGGCCAGAGGTATTAGGACGAAAAAAGAAATTTTATTTGCCTCCCTATAACATTTTTTTTTTGTTTTAGGCTAATATTACTTTTTTATTTTTCAAATGTAGGCTAATTTTCCATCACTTGATAGCTTGATTCAGAGAATCCGTCAGGATGGGAGGATAGCAGAGAAAGCCCTTGAGCTTCCAATATACGCAGGTTACAAAGATGATCCATATTTAAAAAATTCTTTTCAATTGAACAATTGTTGCTAATGGTGGAGATGAAGCAACTATTATTTGGAAATCGTAATCTCTGTCAAATAACTACACCATATTACAACGAGCAAACATTGAATAAAACAATTTTATATTGTTTGCATTTAATAAATGATGAAAAAAGTTGTAACTTAGTACAAAGTAGCTAGTTTTTATTTAAAAAAAAATATCATTTATTTTAGGCTTTGTTTAGTCGTGTTGCATTTTATGGAAGGGAAATTTAGCCACTAAACAAATATTTACATATCTAACACCTAAAGTTTGATATTCACATAAAATTTGTGTGGCTTGTATAATATTTTTTTTATGTGACAAATGTATAATAGAAAATCCTTCCAGAAATTGCAAATCTTCTGTGTACACAATTGTGCTAGAATGAAATCACTTGATTATGTTTTTATTTTTTTTTTATTGCAGTGAATATATTTTGTATGTTTTTAGAGGAAAAAATTCTCTAATTTTCTCATTAAGAAAATAACAAATATATATACAACTCAGACTAACCCTCATATAATTGGAGGGAAATTCAAATCATCATTGTGAAAAAAGGAAATAAAAGCACGATAATGGATATTAAGGTTGAATATTTTCTCCCCTCAAATGTAATAGTGGATTCACAGTTTCCTAAATCGGATATGCATATAAATACTCCAATTCAAGTTGGGTATATCATACATCCCAAACTTGTTGCTTAGATCACTGAATTGGTACTGAGAAAGAGACTTGGTAAGAATATTAGTAATCTGATACTGAGTTTGGATATATCTCAGCTGAATAACCCTTTTATTGACTTTCTCAGAGATAGTGTTGGTCAATCTCTATATATTTGGTTCGATCATGGTGTACCAGCTTCTTTGAAATACTGATGACTGATTGACTATCATTAAATATCTTAATAGTACTTTGATTCTCTATGTAAAATTCTACTAGCTGTTTTTTTGGCCACATTCTTTTACGAATTCTTAGGGTTAGGGCACGATCCTCAGATTCTACACTGTTTTTTGCCATCATAACTTGCTTGTTACAAGATTACCTCATATGAGCAATAAACCATGATAGGTTTTCTATTAGTTAGTTCTCCTGCTCAGTTAGTATCTCTGTAGATCTCAATGTTACGGTTCTCAATCTCCTTGAATATTCTAAGTGATCTTCATTTGTGTCATTCATATGTTGGCTCACTACACCCACAAAAAAAGTAATGTTAGATCTTACTATATGTGATATATCAATAAGTTTATGCACAAGTCTTTGATACCTCTCCTTTTCAATTGGGATGTTACCGCCTCTTTTTGATGCTCGTCGATTGGAATCCATAGGAGTATCTGTTGTTTTGCATCATAACATTCCCATCTCCTTCAATAAGTCACGATTATTTTTTTTGTGGAATATAATAATGTCTTCTTTGGATCTAACTACATTTATTGTCAGGAAGTACCTTAAAGTTTCAAGATCTTTTATCACAAACTCAGAAGCCTTTGATTGTTTCAAGTTCTCTTACATCATTGTCTGAAGAATAATGCGATCTACATATACAATAAGGACGACTTTCATTTATTCTTTATTTGATTTCACAAATAAAGTGTGATCAAATTCACACTGATTGTACCCATTGACAAGAATAAACTTGGTGAACCTTTCAAACCACTCTGTGAGAATGTTTTAACTTATATACTGATTTTTTTAGTTGCAAACCAATTGATTATTTGTGTTGTTCTTTAACCCTTGAGGTATCTCCTTATACATTTCTTTTTCAAGTTCCTTATTAAAAAAATGCATTTTTAAAATCTAGCTACTGTAAAGGCCAATCTTGGTTTACAATCAATGACGTTAATAGTCTTACTGTGTCGAGTTTCACCACTGGTGCAAATGTCTCCTGATAGTCGATCCTTTAAGACTGAGTGAACCCTTTTGCTACAAGTTTAGTCTTGAACATTTTATGTTCACGTCTGTTTTGTATTTAACAGTGAATATCTAGTTGCACCCTACAATTCTTTTCCCAAGTGGTAGAGTTACCATATGCTTTTTTCCATTGTTTTTTCCAAGCAAGAATAGATAAGACCTCTTGGATTAAATTTGGGACCTGCACATTGCCCAAGTTCGAAACAAAAGATTTGTAAGAGTGTATTTTTTCATGTTATAAATTCTTCTATCAGGTGCTTTGTGCATTCTTGTACTTCTTCTTTCTCTTGGTGTTCATGATGTGTTGATCCAGTCTCTGTTTGAATACTCAGGGTGCGTAGTATTGGTTCCGGTGATTTGCATTTTTAATTCTGCATATTGTTTCTTGCATGCTCACTAGTTTTTTTTTATTATTTTTTTTTGGGTGTACAAATGCGGTTCTTGGTTCGTGGTGGGAGCTATGAGATGATTTAGTGGATTAATAGTTTTCTCTTTTGGTTGATTGTGATAGTGGGGACACGAATGAGTTTACCAGGGATATAAGTGAAGTGAGCTTGAGATTTTTAAATGGTATCCCAAATCCAATATTCTCTCCAACCCTCCCCATGCATATTATATTTTGGGTAATATAATTGGTTTTCAAATAAGTTGAAATACATGAAATTGTAAAATTTTTTTACTTTTATGGAGAGTAACATTTATATTTTTTTTTTGTTTGAAGAGCAGCTCACAATAATGCATTTGATTGACATAGGATCAAGTTTGGTTTGATTATGTTGAGTAGATGAATAAAAGTGATGCAACCAAAAATTTTTAGTGGTAGGTTCGAGGTGAAAGATTGAATATCTTGGTACGATTTCATGAGGGTGTGGAAAGATTTGTTAAATTTTAGCTTTATGTTGGACATCTTATTTATGAGATAAGTGGATGTGAGAGTTATATCCCCAGAAGTGTTTGGGTACACTATTAGTGAGTAAAATTGATCGGACCACTTCGAGATGTATGTTCTTTTTTTAAGCCGCATCATTTTGTTGGGGTATGTCAATGCAAGAGATTATATGAATCATGCCATTTTTGGATAGATAAGAGACGAGAGTGGAGTTGTAGTCTTTTGCATTATAGATTCTGAGAATTTGAATTTTGCTCAGAAAATGGGTGATGATCATGTTGTGGAAGGTTTTAAATATGCTGACAGTTTTTTATTTTTCTTTCATTAGAAAGGTTAAGTGGTTATGGCATGGTAATTAATGAAAATGACAAACCACCTTGCCCTATTTGAATTTTTTGTTTTTGAGTGTTCTCAGATATCACTATGACCATGAAGTAGGGACATATTGGTTTGTATTTCAGGCGTGGCTACATTTGTCGAGTGTGCTTAGCAAATTGACAAGTTTCACACTAATAAGAACTATGTTTTTTATTAATATAAATAAATGAGAATATAATTTTTTAATATAATAGAAGTTAGGATACCCAAGGTGAAAACGACATAACATGACTCCAATGAGAAACTAACTCAGTTACAATACTCAACTCAAAAGATTGTGAATGTTGTGATGATCCTTATGAAGTGGGAGTCCTAGTGAGCATATAAACTTCACGATACATATCTGCACCGCTAATCACCTTTTCTATGTTCACCTGAAATTCACACAAACGAGGAAGAATTTAGTAATATAATTCATGTCACAAGTGAGTCTATTGATAGACAATAAATTGTAGTTAAATTTATGAACATAAAGCAAAGATTTAAGGATAAAATCCTTTGTGTGTTTCACACTTCGTCTTCCTTACACAGATGAGAGGGACCAATATGCAGTTCTAGTTGCATCATGGTGTTTGCAAGAATGAAAGTATTGAAAATCAGTGATATCATCTGTCATGTAGTCAGATGCTCCAGAGATCACAATCAAATGCCGATTCTTCCTGTTGAGAGCAACAAGAGCAGACAAAAGACTACTTTGGTGTACTAGAAGACTAGTAGAAGGTTCAAAATATTGTCCAAGAGGCCTTTGAGGAGTTTCAAGTTGTTCCTTACTGAATGGACTATGTTCATGAGGCTTGTCTTCCTTTGATGTTTAGTTGCTTGTTTTTTCCCATTACTTTTGACTTTTTTGGGCTTCCAATACACAGGTTTTCCATAAAATTTTCACTACCTCTTCAAACGACCAAAGCTTCTTGTAATATTCACACCACAATCTATTCCTCTTTGATTTGCTGTCATGATATGATTTGTGAGTGTATAAGGTTGACTTGTCAACATTTGTTATAATAAGATTACCTGTCATGATGAGTTTATTCCCGCTCTCTTCTCTTTAGACTTCAACAAAGGCTTCACGAATTGACGGAATAGGTTTGGTTCCTATGATTCTTCCTCCGACTTAATCTAGTTCCTTGTTGAATCCTAGAGGGAATTTGATGATTCTCTTTTGCTCAAGTATGATTTTGTAAAAAAATAAAGTCTTGTGAGCACCTCCATATGTATGTTTCATACATATCTAGTTGGAGCCAATATTTGATTAGCGTTGAAGTTTTGATTAAAATTCAACTTATCTTGTCACAGGTCTTGTAATATAGTTTCAATGTCAAACAACTCAGAGGTGTTATCAACACTTGAATAAGTTTCCCTTGCGACATTCTATATTTCTTTTGTGTTTTTTTTTTTTTTTTTCAGGAGAAAGGTTTCTCCAATTTTTATGTCATAGAGTTGACATGCCATTATGACATGACCTTGTGCTCTTCAATCTTTCATGTCCGATGTTCAGGACTAGTAATTTACAGTGCATGATTTTTTTCAGTGAGGTTATTATCTTTTCCTTTACCACAGATTGCGACCATTGAAGAAAATTATTTCAATGTTGTTTCTGATTGATGATGCAACAATAGACTTCAGATTCTGCATAACCAAACATTCTTGGTTTAGGTTTTAGATGTAACTCCTGACAAGGAATATGTAGCTTTCATGCTGTATTTGGCATCATCAGGATTTCCACTGGAGAGAAATTGTTGTTGTCAATATAGAGTTTCCACTAGAGAGATAAATTGCTTCACGCCGACACATGATTTTCACTAGAGATTTGATTCGATTCTTATATTTAACACAACCCTGTTTGATGGGATTTCAAGTTCGAAAGCTGGCCGACGAAATCAGAATTATCCAAATCGCGAAGAGCCAATCTAACAGGCGATTGCAACAAGCAGTCGATCACAACATTGACTGAATGAATCAA